TGTGTCCAAATACCTTAGACACCCTGGCCTTCCAGCTCTCCATTACCATTTTTTTTTCAATTGAAGTTTTCTTTATCTCTGATGAAGGGCAAGCCTTTTAAGAAGTCCTAATCTGGAGAAATTTAAATTCACTGAATTCACTCTTCTGTGTTTATTAGGTAGTCATTTGTGTCACATATCCTATTGGTATGAAAAATAAAAATGAAGAGACTTCTTCCTGGGCTGGGATTAGTGCCTTTTTTATTTCTGCACTTACATTTTCAAAATAATGTGGTCTTTATTGTTTCCTGCCAAAGAGCTACTTTTCCTATTTCAGTTAACCAGACTGACGTGGGGATGCAGTTTGGCGCTTGAATAAAATGGGACACAATGTTCATTTGCAATTTTATTTTTTAAAAATGAAATATTCAAAGTACTTTTCTTTCAAATATTGACACATAATGTTTAACTTTAAATATTTACAGCATGTTGTTGTGATGTTCTTGTAGAAAAAAAATGCATGCTTCTGGCCTGAAAGCCAGAGCAAAATGCAAAAGACCATTGAACTGCAGCCAGAGAACATGAACCTGTACAGTATCCAGTCACTTTTCAGCACAGGAGAGCAGGAATACAAAATTGGAACCTATTGTTTCCTAGCAACATGGCTCAGGCCATTATAACACAATTTTCAGTATGATTAGAACCTCTAACTGTTGTTACATAGAAACTGAAAATCTTGGCATACACTGTAAACATCTTTACTTTTCATGAGAAAGTAAGCAGCTAAAAAGAGTACTTTCTGACACAAAGGCTGTATTTCTCCTTTTCACGGTTTTTCTTACTGATGCTTTTGCCAGAAGAACAGTAAAGATTTAGACACTGTCATGATTCATACACGTAAAATATTTTTCAAGGACACAATCTGATATACTAACATTTATTTAAGAGGTTAAAGTCCACCACTAAATCTAAGGAAAGATTTTTAACTGCCAAACACATTTCCTTTGACAAATAATGTAAGATGACAACTGCCAAGACAAAATCCACAGCATGTTTAACTCTAAGTATGTTCAATTACTGTTTAGGAAGCAATTTCTTCTTACACACAGTAGTATATTTGGTCCTTAACAGCTTTCACATGAAGGACACACTGAAATAAGTCACGGTTTTGTGGTTGAATTGTTTCTGGTGTTTTTTTCTTTCTTTCTTTTTTTTTTTTTTTCCTGTTTTTTTTTTTTTTTAAATTTGCTTTGCTTTTTTTTTGTTTTTGTGTTTTTTTTCTGGTTTTGTTTTGTTTTGTTTTTGCTTGCTCTTTTGCTTTTTTTTGTTTTTGTTTTCTTTTCAGAATAAAGAATCTTACAGAAGGCCGTGGAAGAGCAGTCTGAGATCTGAAGTATTATTCAGGTCATCTATGTATATGTGAGTTCCTCCAAGAAAACAAGAACTGGGCATTCAATCTGTAAGCATGTTTCCCTACAAGGTAGAATACACTCCATTCCCTCCAATTTTCTTTAAATACTTCTTTATTGTACTTCTGCTTTCATTGCAATTGAACTAAATTGCTTTTCACACAAACAAATCTGCAGAAATGCAAACACTTTGCCTGGACTCTCAGGTAAAGTTAGTGTGGGAACAGGTGTAGTGGGAAAGAGAAGGAAAATGAAGAAATAAGTGATGGGATGCCTGAAATTGTGTCAACAGTAATGAAAACCAAAAATGTAATTAAAGTCATAATGGAATTTTATAACTCTCCATGTAGGTAGCATATGAATTCCAAATTATACATCATCAAGTTTTCATATTTGGCTATGTTGTAATATTATATTTTATATATGCATTCTATATATTATAGATCTCCTAGATGAGGTGAAAATAAATGACACACTTATTTTATTTTATACATGATTTTGTTGGATTAAAAATAAAACATATACTTATTTCTATGGCAAGTGTTTTGCTGAAAAAAAAAATGAATTGAGCTTTATTTTCTTTCCTTCCAGAATTGTGCTTCTAATCAGTAATGATTAGAATGACAACCAAAAAATAGATGTATTTATCTTTTAAACTTAGCACTTTTCAGCTCGTTTGCATCTCTAGACTGTAGTGCAACAGTAAAACAGATCGAAACAAAAAGCACAAATGAAATGGGCTTCAGGAAAAGAAGCAGTGACAGCCTGCATCCCTCCCTGAATGTTCCTCACAGGAGTATACGAGTAATATCTTCTCACTTTAACCTACTTGAGTGGTATGTTTAGCTATGCTGTGTGAGCCTTCTGCATTTTGTGTGTGAGACATTTCATGTAATTTCTCTTCAAAGCTGCACTGTCATCAGGAAACACAAATGAATTGTTCTTTCATTTGAACTTCAGAACTGAAACTCAGTGAAAGTATCCTTTCTACCCTGCTAACAGGAAGCACTATACTTAATATTTCCATGTTCTTGTTAAGTAATGTCAAAATGTTTCTCTTATATTTGCAACATGTTAGTGCTAATCTTTTGGTTTTTCTTTTCCTCTTCAAAACTTTAGGAGTTGCAAAGAGAATGATAATAGTTCAAGGCAGTATTAAAACCACAGCTGTAAGTGATAAAAAGTGCATTTCCTGAATATAATACAAATATAACTTTAGGTAACCAAAGGCACAAACTAACTAAATACGTATTACAAACTAGAGTCACACAGTTCAAGGTAATTTACTATGAAGGAGTAACTTCAAATATTTAATTCTAATGGTTATTTAAAACAGTTTGAAAATGATATATCATTAGTGAGTTGCAAAAGAGTGCAATCACTTAAGATAGAAGCAAAATAGACTCCAATATTGACACACTGGGTTAGTGATAAAAATACACCACATTAAGAATGCACTTTTATATACAGTTAACAAATTATTTTCCCATTGACTTAAAAGAATGTCAGAGGTTCTAGAAACTTAAGGTCTATTTTTAGGTTGGTGTGGAGGTATTCAAATTTTCAATAAGTTTGTGAAATTTTTCAGAATTTCATTGTGAATAAATAGTGTACTGATGAGACAAGCCTGATTCAGGAAAATCCCTATGCTGGGATTTTAGTCTAGATTACTAATATATTGAATTAATGTGCTTCTAATTACAAAGATAAATGATGAGTTCATCATGAATTCTCTCTTTCTTCCTCCTCCCATCCTCAGTGCATGTGATGATCTGAACCTGAATGTTTTAACAATGAAATATTTTAATATACCCTACCCTACTATTTGCTGGGGTCCTTTTCCTCTCCCTTGTTTGTCTTTGTATAATAAGAGTCAGATTCTTCAAAAAAAATCTTAATAAGAACTGGATTATGACTTTGCATATTTCCAATGAAACGGTCATCACAAAGCAAGACAATGACCTCATATTACATTTAGGTAATAACTGGAAAGAATCTAAATGGACTGTCTATCATAAATTCTCCTCCAGTCATAGCAAATGTTCACCCTGTGATGTGAGGATAGAAGCTGTCTCATGGGAATTTTCTACTGGGCACATTGTGGTGTCATGAATTTTCATTGTGGCAACTTGCAATTACACCGCATTTTATAAACTGCCTCTTTGTCAATTGGCACAGATCTCTCAGCTCACGAAGTTGCTTCTTTAGCTGCAGGAGTCATGAGATTGAGAAACTGCAGCAGATATTAACATTAACCCTGACGTTTCTCTAAATTTTAAGCTATTATGGAACAAACAATCCCTCTTGAAAATAGTTATTTTCCTAGGTGGAATCGATGATTAAATAAAAATAAATGGATTAAAACAGAGAACTGAAATAGCCACATAAATTATGTTGGTTAAAAATCTAGTCTGTCCTTCTGTAATTAGTTAAAATGTTTTAAGTTGGAAAGGATTCACTTAATTCAATTTTCTGCATATGGCTGGGAGAGATTCAACACAAAAAATGTACATTTGAAAGATGAATAATAAGTGGGAAGAAATGATGAAGCAGCAACTCTTATTATGTTGGCTTTTGTCTCTTTTATACTTTAATACAAGGTCTATTGTTTTTAAGATTTTGGCTCTTGGGAATTTCTGCAGTAGTAAAATATGATTATCAGCATCACAGGCACACACACCTGTTAAAACCTCGTCTATTGTACCAGATACTTTTTAGTATATTACCTTTCATGTGCACAAACCATTGGATTAGTGTATAAATACTGGATTACTAATGTGAAACTATGACCAAAGCACACCCTTATATATAAATGAGAAATTCCTACCCAGGTTAATAAAAGCTATGTTTACATGACGCCAATACAGCTGGGCAAATGGATAAGAAATTGAGTCAAAACAGGTCATATGAGAGAGGTCACATCGACCAGCTGCTTTGGTACCACGTACACACAAGCAAAACAGTGGCTCTTCAGCCTGTACCACACCCACAGCAAAGAGTGATAGAAGCCAGCCACCACACGCCAAAACACAGCACAACAACATGGCATTTACTTTTTAACAAGCAAGGAGGAAAAATCAGGGAAGGAGGGAAAACAGCTTCTGACTCCAGGAGATGGTGCTTGAAAACATTTTAGATTTCCTTTTAAGTTTCCTCTAACAGATCTGGACAATGTGAAGGGGCTGGCAGCCTTTTGAGATGCAAGGTTCAGATACTATTGCACCACACTTTCAAGGAGCCTGTAAGTCCTGACAACGGTTAGATGTGAAACTTGGTGTCACAATAGAAATTGAGAGCCTTGGGTTCTTTTTATGTAGTTGAACATATGCATGGCTCAACAAATTGAAAGTGGTGCTTTCTGAAAACATTTGTGTAAGCTGTTGTTCAGCTTGTGTTCTTTTGAATACTGCCACACGAGAACTAAAAATCTCTGTCATTTCTTAAAGAGTTTAAACAAACAATATTAAAATACCATCTTCTGTCACATTGAAAGGCAGTTGGATATGTTTTTCCTCCATATTTACATATACAGAGTTCTGATCTAGAAAACCAATACAATAAACCTTTTTTTTTTTGTTTTTGTTTTTGTTTTTTTTTTTTTTTGTTTTTTGTTTTTGTTTTAAAAACAGGCAGTCTTTGGTGACGCAAAGGCAGGGATTTCTTTTGTTACCTCCTGCCTATTTCGCTCTGTCTCATAAAGTGAATATTGTTGGCACTGTCTGAAAGTTCTAAATACTGCTCAACAGACAAGACAAAATACCCATCATACCCTTGCACCCTCCCAGTGCTCAAAAGCTGCTGTTTTTCCCCCTCTGTCCATGCCCGGATCCCTTCTTCTCCTTCCTGTAGTCTCCTCTGCTCCTGAGTCCAGGCCTGGGCCACCGCGCGCTGTCTGGCCATCTCCAACACATGGTTCTTTTCCTCTTCAACAGTCGTTCCGTACCGGATATTGAAGCACAGAGCTCCGTGCTGCAGTTGAATGTCTGCAAACCGTCTAGTCCTCCCATTTAACACTGATGTCATCTGAGACACAGTGACATTGACACCATTCTCCAGAATCCGCCTCCCCCCAGTGTTACCGATGAGCACCAGGTCTTCCTCCAGAGACCCGAGCTTAATGAAGTAGTGAGTGTCCCTCCCTTCTATGGTAAAATGCAGGTTTTCCAGGTAATGAGCATTGTTGAGAATGGCAGCAAGACGCCTGCTATCTTCATTGGCAACTCCTATAATATCAGCTGTCACTATGCCCTCCTTGATGGCAAATTTTATACCTTTGCCAAAGACAGAAGGGACAGCAGCAAACCTTGGCTGTTTCCCTCCTTCAAGGCACCGCCCCTCATTGTACTGAGGAGTCATAGGAAGCTGATCCAAGGAAATGAAATTCCTGAGCTGTTTCTGGAGCTCACACTGAATGCCCAGGATCATCTAGAAAAGAAGGCACAGGGCGAATGCAGCACACGGTTAGACACCAGCTGTATGCCTGCTGACACCTGGGAAGGAAAGGCTAGCAAGGGTCTTCACTTAGTCATTATTAAAAGAAAAAAAACAAAACAACAACAAAAACAAAACAAAACAAACAAACAAACACAACTGGAATATCTACAAAGACTGGGAAAACAGAAAGGCTAGCAGGTATTGATTTCTCAGTCTTACATCTTGCCTTAGTTGAGTAGAAGAAAATAGGTTCAAACATGGTTTCCCACAATTTCAGAGCTACAAGGAACTTTGTGTTTTATTTTTTCTATTTCAGCACGTACTTGTGGCAACCAGTTTCTGAAACATGCTTTTCATTCAACATGAATATATTTTATTTTGAGCCAAACCATTCCTTACTCCTCACTTCCAATTTCTAGGTAATACGGACTCCACATGATACGGTCAACTTACATCATCTTCTATTTGTGCATCCTCCTGAGTCCAATTAGTGCACTTGGTGTTGCCCATGTGCATGAAGGCCCTCTACCATAGCATGGGTAACTCACCACAGGTCCCATGCTTGAAGAAAGTTGGACTTTCCCTTGGTTGCTATTGAGTGCCTATAACTTCTCAACTAGCAGTGGGGTCTTGTAAGCCCCCCCCCCCAATGCTGGAACATTGACTACATTGATCTTGCATTGGTCTTGTGTAAACAACCAGAGCTGCTGTGAATGTAACTGCTTGCCATATCCCTAATATGCAGCAGTTCCTCCAACCTCTGCCCTTATGATCTCCATGCCCCTTCATCTGTGATGCTTCTTGCACCTTAGAGGGAGGGGTATAGAAGGAACTTTAAATAGGGTAGCTCACAAAAACACACATCTTACATTTAGTAATCTGATACTATCTAGATGTTATTTCTGCACATAGAGGGATACATTATGCATCCCGAGATTGGAAAAAGTGTGTAAAACATAGCATTTGCTTTCTGTCACTCCTAGCTGTATAACTAAGTGAAAAACTATGACAAATATGCAAGACAGGCCAATTTTTTAAAATGTGTACTTAAAAATTTTTCTTACTTGGGAAGCTTTCAAACTTGCTAAGAAACAAAAGACTACTAACCCTCCTAGTATTCAATAAATTTTAACATTTTGAAAGTCCTTTAAAACTGGCTTTTAGTTATAAAATCCATGTATATATTACACATGCTTATAAAAGATATAACCCTACAATATATAGCTACTTAGAATTTCCTTTCACTTAAAATTTTTGACCTAAATGTCAAGTTTTCCTACCCAAATTTCAGTTTTCATTTTTTCCTTCTTTCTGTTTCCTTTCTGTTTGCATTTTACAGTCTTCATGAAATCATCTGCCTATCTGTGGCTGTTTCTGTGTTCATATTTTTTCAAGACTTTATCCCCATAAATTGTAGTATCTTTGTATATTATGCCCATATACGTTTTTCTTGATCAAAACAGTTTTGTGTTATTTTCATGTTCTTATGGCATCATCATTAGTATACAGTTTTTCCTACATAGAATCCATTATTACCATTGCTACCTGATTTCAGAATTTAAGAAGTTTAAAGTGTCTTTCTTCTTAAGCGTTTATTGCATCAGCCATCAAGTAATCTACTAGCTTTTTTTCTTTTCTCAATGCTCCCGTTCCATGATCTTTCCTTTATGGAAGCATTCTGGAAAGTCATTTAAAAAGCCCCTCAAAGAAATAATCAAAAGTATAGAATATCGTATTTTTGGATTAGATTTTCTTCTGTTTTTTTTTTGTTTGTTTGTTTGATTTTTTTAAAGCTAAAATTTGTACTGACCTTTCCAGGGTCCCATTCTTGAGTTTTTGTCTGAAGCTGAAGAAGCTCGTAAGTTAATTCCAAGTTTTCTAGTTCTGGTTTGGGAAATCCTGGTAGTACATTATGTAACTGGAAACCAAACAGCTCTAACCAACTGCCAATGTCTGTGAAACACAAAACATAAGAAAAAAAAGGCATTCAGAAAACATTTCCAAACTTGAAAGGTAAAATTCTGCATAAATGTTTAGAAAGGGGGGAAGGTAACCATTTTCCCTTATTTGATTCACTCTGAAACAATATCCTTTCCCCTATGGAGGGAAATCTATTGGCCTGTGGGCAATCCCAGGAATAGGCTCAGTTCACTATAGTGAAACTCATAATATGGTACTGGTTTTAAGGCCACATGGATTGTGACACAGGATTTATTTCTGATTTAATCCTGATTTTTTTTATGAGACTATGTTGGCAAGCTTTTAAGGATAAAACATAGAAACAGCTTAAAGGGAAAGAATAATAAACTGGGATGCAAAATCACTATGTCTGATGAAAACTCACATGCTTTTCTTCCTCTGAAATATGTGGTATGAAGAAGGAACACCTCTACAAAGGCGTTGGGATTATGTGATAAGAAATGACCAGCATTAAGTTAGTTCAAGTTCAACTTAATTGTATTCAATTTAATACCTGTGGTATACTTTGCAACATCTTGGATTTTGCCAACTGGGTAGTTATTCTCAAAGGAGTAGAGGTTGAATGGTTTAGGAAGAAGGTTCAACTGTTTCCATATGTGATGATTAGGCGTTGTCCATCTGCCAGCAACAACATCATAATCCCTTTGGCCTAGATGCACTAATTTAGTAAGAAAATCATAGAGTCCTCCATGAAAACCAATTATGACCTGAAAGTCAGGGTAAGTATCATGGTAGATGTCACCATAAGGTGTATACAGAATCTCCTTTATGACCTGACCCCGACTGCTGAACACAGCTAGTGGAGTGCCCATATTATCACAGGCTACATAATATTCTTCACCACTGCTTAACTCCATGGCAATAAGGTGACCTTGGAGATCATAATAAAGAGATGTAATCTCTGAGCTTGTGTGGTTGTATAGATGAGTGACTCTTATAGGGTTGGCAAGGTCTGCATAAAAGAATTGGAGATGCTGTCCTAGGCTAGACTTGCTGGCAACACGTCGCCCAAGCCCATCATAGTAATACTGTACAGTCCAGCCAGAAACCTTATTGTAGGCTTTCTGCATCAGACCATTAGAATTATACTCAAATATATCATTTCCTCTCTGTCTGAGAAAGCCATCTTCATCCATTTTATACTGAATCTCTCCTAGTCTAGTAATGCGGTCTCGGAGGTCATATCGGAGAGGAGTAAGACGAGCACTATTCCCATGGCTCAAGAGGTTGATGTTTCCATTAAGATCGTAACTATAACGCCATTGGGTTTTATCATTCACAGAAACAGTTTGAAGTTGCCCATCAGCATCGTATTCATAGAAGTACCTTGTGATATTGGCATCTACTCCTACCCTTATATCACATATAACCATCCGGCCCATAATATCATACTGGATAGTCATCCAGTAGGCAATTGCCTTTAGGATCTCATATTGGACTTCAATGACTTGTCCATTGGCATTGAAGATCTTAGTGTGCTTCATCACTGTAGTCGTTATAACCTGATTTAAATCATAATTAATTACACTGAACTTTCCAAATTGTTCTGTTCTACCAGAAACATCAACATATCGGTATAGATCTATGGGTAAAGGGGTCTCATTGATCACTGCTTGCATGCTGGTGACACGGAAGTTGTTGTAACTGTAGTCAAACCGCGCATTCACAAGACCTTCTTCACTGAATCGGAAAATCTGACGTCCAATAAGAGGTCCTGTAAGAACCAAAATAAAAATGAGAAAAGAGCCAACCAATAAACCAGGAACAATCACAGATTTTTTTTACTAAGTATTCATATTTTACATTCAAAGTAATATCCTATTTTAGATTTGTCTCTGATGTGTGATTCCTGGGCATATCACTGATTGTGTGTTCATAATATTAGTCACTAGACATGGAAGATATCATATAGCAAAGTGACAGAATAATTTAATTACAGGGACATTTGAAGTAATAACCCATGCAGTAGCCCAGAGGGGGAAAACTGTTATGATGCACATGATTTCTTGCTGTCATCACCGGCAAAATGTGTTCAGTTTATTTAACCTTTGCTACAAAGTCAGATGGTCAGGTTTTCACAGTGTCCAACATTCAAGTAATTGGCTTTGGGCATGTTATGAATCCAAAGGCTGAAATAAATCCCAGAGTTCTGACTTTTGTCATCAACTGAGGCTTATAGAGGTTACCTGGGCTTAAGCTTTTTCTGAGCTTCCTGTCATGTACATAGATCTTTGGGAAGATGCAGGGATGGATATGAACAAGTATAGGGTTAAGGCAAGTACCGAGGTTGCAATTGTTTTGAAAGCTGAGAGAGACAGAAATATACTGTATGCTATTAAGGAATCAGTTTTCAGGTAGACTGTAAGATGTTTTCAATTTAGAGTGGAAGGTAGTATGAGAAGTAAAACCGAAACTTGTTCAGTCAAGCATGAGCACAGAGGTTAACATTTCTTTTTATGCTTGTTATCGTAAAAATTATAAAAGAATATGGATGATGATGTATACTGCTACCCCCTTTCATAACAAACCTGTTTGCCTGTATCTGATAGTGCAGATGAATCCATCATGCATCAGGTGTATTGTCTTAATCACTCCAGAAGACTCTTCATAAGTTAGTGTGACTTGAGTGGTGTCATAGAGAATCTCAGAGAGTCTCGCTTGCTTTGTGTACTTGTATAAAACTCTGCGCCCCGTCCCTAGATGCAGAGTCTGTAGCAGTCGTCCATCTCGACTGTAGTCTTGGATAAAAGAGGTGCTGCTGTCTGGTGGAGTGTAGATGTTACGGTAGTAGCCCACCGAAAGCATGGTTTGTAAGCTGTGGCGCACCATGCTAGGCATGGTGACTGACAGCAGACAATCTGATTGGTCATACTCAAAGATGTAACGCCGCTGACTGTGTAAGAGAAGCATCACAGACTGAAATGAGACAAAACCAAAATACTGTAATTTATATCGCGGATGTTGAAGAGATGAAAAGAAATACATGTTCATCCATTTCACACGGATTTATCAAGCAATTACTATGTACCAAGGACTGTGGCAGATCCTGGTGGATTCAGTAGTACCCAATCATGTCATCTACTTTTATGGGATTTACAGTAACAAAGCAATTACAGTATGAAATGAATCTAGACAGAAGATGTCCAAACCACCTCTGGAAAGTAGAGAGAGAACAGTTATTCCTGACTTTTGAGGCCAGAGTAAACTTCCTGGGGACAGAACATTCAGCTTAAGACATAAATGATGACCAGAGTTTGGCCAGACAAAGACAGAGAGATGTATTGTGTGGAAGGAAAGAATACTTCTGACAAATAATATAGTGTTGGGAGGGGCCAAGTATTAAGGAAGCCTATGAAAATGGCCATTTTCTCATAGAACATGAGGAATTTTGTGTGGTCAGAACATGTATGGTTTGGGGTAGTGCTAGTGAATAGTAAGAATGCAGCTGAATCTAGATTATGCTGTGAGTTTTTAAGGCAGTTAGACTTAAGCCTAGAAAGGCACTGTAAAGTTTTAAGTAAGTTGAAGGATGGGTACTTGAGGAGGTGGGAGAAACAGTCAGGTTGATATTTTAGAAAGGTCACTGCTGCTTCTATGTGGAGATGGATTGGAGGAAGGTAAAGTGAAGACAGGGTATAACAGATATTAACTTTGAGCCACGGAAATGTATTGATTTTATATAGTTGACGCCTTCTTGAAAAGATGCTCATCGAATAGTATTATGCATGATTTGTAATATATACTTTAGTTCTTCGTGTTTCAATTCTATTCATGTTTTAATATTAAGGAAGTGAGGCATTAAAAGTGAAGAAATCTCTGGTTATGTACCCCCTCAACACGCAATAGATTTGTAACTTGTTTTCACCTATTTGTCATAGTATAATTTGTTATTGACACTTTCCCGCCTGTCTGGTTCCACAGCCGTGTCAACCCCAAATAACCCACAGAGACACTGTAATAGAGAAATGTTTTAATAGTTAAGTCAGAGCTAGCCAATAAGAAACATAGCCAATGGCCAACAGTTTCATAATTTATACAGCTGGTGGGAAAGTGCATGTAACAATAATACTTTGTATATAATCAATATTAATATTAATAAATATTGATTGATATTGTTATTGTTCTAAATAGAAACTTAAGCCAGGTCTGATGGTATAGGCCTGTAATCCCTGTAATCCAGCTTACTCAGGAGGCAGAGGGCAGAAGGGTCAAGATTACCTGGGATGCAGAGTGAGTTTAAGGCCAGCCTAAGTTACTTAGAAAACTCTTTCTCAAAATAAATTATTTTTAAGGGCTTGAGACTATAGCTCACCGAAAGAATGCATGCCTAACATATATGAGGTTGTAAATAGAATCCTCAGTGCCACAGAATAAGAAAATCAGCATTGATGTATATATATATATATATATATATATATATATATATATATATATAAACAAACCCATACAAAAGCACTATGTTAGTGAAGACTATAATTCACTGGCAAATAAAATTAACTTTTAAATATAATTTATCTCATTTGTAAGTGTGTGTGTGTGGTGTGTGCATGTATGTATGCAGGCATATGCATTTGTATATGTATGTGTATGGGCCAGAGAAGGATGCTGGGTATCCTATTCTATAACCTTGTTCCTATTCTGAGAAATTGTCTTTCAATGAATCTGGAGCTATCCTGGTGACCAGCACATCCCCACAACCCTCCTGTTTCTGCCCCCCTACAGCATTGGAGTTATAGGCAAATGGGAAGCTATTCATGCCTAGCTTCTTATGTGTGTGCTGGTGATTCAAACTCAAGTACTTATGCTTGTGCAGCAAATATTTTTATGCACTATGCTACATCAGTGCTTTAACTTTAGTCTTTTAATAAAAATAAAAATAAAAGTTATTCCACCCCTGGGTACTCTAATATAACTAAGGGAGTTTAACTCTCCTGAGAATTACCTTACCAAACAAAAATACTAAGTTCAACTACTTTATGTTGTGAAAACAATAGGTATCTTTTCATTTTTTACATGCAAATCACACAAATAATTCTGAAAGTTAATTACTTAAGCATACACAACATGAATCTTAAAAATGAATTATGATGTGATATTATATGTATGTTATGCGATGGCACCTCCCTCCTATACTTCTGAGAATTAATGATTTTTTTTCAGTTGCATTTCAATGCCATGAAGTCGGTGGTCATTTGCTCATTTATTTAGTCTATTTCTTTCCTACCAACGTCATGCCTGGACATTGAAAAGTAGATGCACAAATCTTTTCAAGTGGAACACGTGCAGCCTGCCACATCTTGTAGTCCTACCATTATGTCTACAAACCCTCCCTAGTAAAAGGCACAATCCTGTGCAGGCCTAGGGCCATGAAGAGAGGCATGCTCTCTTCCATCAGTGCAAAACACCATAGAACCAGAAGGATTTCTTCCTGTGAATAGAACAGCAGGTGGTAGAACATTGAGGTGGGTGGGTAGATGCAGTAATTGGTGAAAATACCTTTGTATTATTTCCACTCCAAAAGTCTGATTTCCCAGCTCCTTTCCACTCTCTCCTGTCAGTTTGCCAAGAACAAATGACATCTGTCACTTGTGGTGTGGGCCAGGGACAATCACCATATGGCTGCCACACATTTTCCAGCACCATCCTGCCTATTCCAGTCACTGTACTAGCTTTGCCAAAAATTTACACTGTGTTGTGATTGTATTCCTTCCTCTGTTTGCTTCCTCTAGTCTATAGCAAGCCAATGCCTGAATCCTGTTCCTCTATTGTGCTGACTCGGAATTGCCTTCAATGCTGTTGCTCTCCAGTCTGGTTTAAAACGTGAAGACATGATTAGGAATCTCCTGAATGCAATTGTTTTGCTGTCACAATACCATTTAGCCCTATTTAGCTGCTTTTTCATTTTGGATTGGTATTATTATCAGTTTGTTCCAAAACAATGCTTATGAGTCTAGCCAATGTCCACTCTGCTACTGCTGGATAAAATGCCATTCCTTATTAGTCCGAATAATAGAGAGGGAGGCTTGTGTTCTTTTAATAGGATTATTATACTGTAAAAGAAATCTTTGTGAAGGAAAAGAAAAGAGAACAATCATGGCCGTATACTTATTTGAAAAACACTAGAAACGAAAGTAGAAATTTGAAAAGGTATAGTACCCACATGACCACCAGATGGCAGTGTGGAGCTACCTAGGAAAGAAAGCCAAAGATTGTATCTCCGTAGTGAGCCTTCAAAATAACCCCAAATAGATAATTTTGTGTAAATGTGTAAAACTAAACTATCTTATTAAATGATTATAAAAATATATTTATGTGCATTTTAAAAATGGAGCTTGTAAGAATGATTTTTAGGAAACTGAAAGATTTACATTAGATGTAATATAAACTTAGCTGCACCAGTCTTCAAAATATAATTAACTTAGAGAAGTGTCATAAATCTAGGCAGAAAATTAATGACTACATACAGAAAAGCTAGGAAATAATAATTGATTTTCTTAATAGAGAAGAGACCATTTACGCAACCACAGCCATTAGCTAAATAATTATTTTTCTCCTAATGAGAACAAAGCATTGTTCACAAAATGATATGTTTAACTTTCACCTACTCCAGAGAAATAAATTTTACAAAATTATTGCATGCGAAGGTTAAAAAGTATGATGCCGATTTTTAATATATCATGGTGTTACCATGGAAAGAGACTTTGCAGATGTAAGTAAGGCCAGAGTATTTTTTAACTTTGATCATTCTCACTATGTACTAGAGGAAGTAAGACCTTCATCCCTACCCTTCTCCTGTCATGTGGTAGCAAAATCCATGTTAAAATACAGGATTAGAAAGACCAAAAGGAGTCCAAGAACAGCAAGCCCCTTAAAGAGTGAATCAAAATCCAACCATCTTTCTTTAGTTGTCTGTCTTTGAATCCAGATTTCAAAGATGTTTTTGTTTTCTTACTTTCCTCTTTTCCTTTTGTTTACTCTCATTTTGATTTGCCGTCAAATTGACCTAAGTGCTAGCTATGTTCCATTATCTATTTTTGTGCTTTGTATTAACTTATTTCATGTAAGCCCTTCATTTATTCAGTGAGTTAGTTATTTATCATTGTTGATAATAATAGACTAAAATCAATTTCAGAATGAATTAGGAAATTATGGCAAGACTATGGATGATGTGATTAGAAATCTTATGAATGGAGCCATTTTGTTAGTGAGAAACCATTCAATAATTATATATTTTGTAGGTTTAGACTTTAGTACAATAGGATTGCTTAAATAAGTGGTGATCCTTCTATGTAAAGAACAAGTTACACATGAAATACAATGACAAAAATGACTTGGGTTGTTTGGCTGGTCAGTAAACAACTGCAAGTCATTGAAGTTTCTCTTAACATATTATTAGATGAGGAATATACCACTTACATCTGTTCCCTTTTTGTTTGTTTTTGAGAAAGGGTCACAGAGGCCTTGAATTTGTGATTCCCTTTGCCTCTACCTTGTTGTTTCTGTTTTGTTTGAAGAAACTGTTGAACACTAAATATTTTATTTCATAGAAAGAGAACTGATATGAAATTTGTTTTGTGTGGACAAAATAAACAGTTACTTTGAAAAAGAGAGACCATATCTCCTCACTGGTATCAGAGAAAATTGTGCGCAGGGCTGACTTTTAAGTTCTCGATAGATGATGTTCTTATTATATAGAGAACAAAGCAGGAAGAGTCTTAGGAGGCCTAGATGTTAGTCTTCAGGCTATTAGCTCAGATGGTCGCACGCTGGTGCTCTGGAGGCTGTAACCCTTTACATGCCCCTAAGGACTGTTGCCTACTTCTCAAGTCACATGGAGGAGCTGTGAAAGGATAACTGTTAGGTCAATGGCATAATTTTAAACATACAGTATAACTTTTAAAATGTACAGATATAGCGAAGTTTTCAGTAAATGCCTTATGGAACATTTTGACTATGTATAGATACTATCAAGTATTTGGATTTAATTAATGTTTGCATGTGTTAGAAACTCTGTAGACCTTAGCCACAGAATTTCCAAGTCATTTTTTTTTTGTTGAAATTTAAAAGTGCAAAGATTTGCTTCATGAGATGCATACTTTCCCGGTGTAGGATACAGATTACACATTCTGACAGCTTTCCCAGAAGGGCAGGACCCTGGGAAGATGTAGCAGAGGTCTACTGCCTCTTTTGCAAACTTTGCTTTGTCTCTTAGGTATTCCTGACATTGGGAATTTCTTCAGCACCTGATGCTTAGAAGTAGGAAACTAGGTGGACAATGACAATGAACCACGGGCACACCATTTTTTTAAAAATCAAACTTTGAGGGTGTCTCAGAAGCTCACATATTATTCCCTTTCCACCATGTGTGCCATAAGCTCTCGTGATCCCTCTAAGAGACCCTGTGTGTAACCTTGCAACTGATTACCATTGAAAAATTTCCTGGGAAAAGCATCCTTTACTTTTCCTAGAAATGAATTCAGGAATGACAAGTTCAGTTGAAATGAATTTGGAAGAAAAGACTGCATATCTTAGGCAATCAGACATGGCAATGGCAAATCAAGGTTAATTGTTCTTATTGTCATCTGGTAATGATCTGAGCAGAAATCATTCGACTGTGTAGGGGCTAATGTTTTACCAATGGTTCCTGTGGTGGGATTATAATCCTTTTATTCCAGACAGAGGGCACAGGCTCCCAATATGGATGCTGTTGGAGGCTTAGTACACACAAAAGACTACCACCAATTAGTACTGTCTGCCACTGTTCCCTCTGGCTAATTAATTTGAGAATTAGTTCTCAAATGTGTACAATGAAAACCTCACTGGCTATGTAGGAAAAATAAAAAAGGAATTCCTTATTCCTTATTTGTTGGGTAAGAGAACTTTTACCAGAGCTGAGATACATTAACACAGGGTATTGGAATTTACTAGCTATTTTCTGTCAGTATGAGCTTTCATAATAATACAGATGTCTTTTCAAGGGGATGAACAAATATGCTCAAATGAGTAGAAAGCTAAGCCATTATCCTCACTTCAGTTTGAAAAAGTACTTGGCAGAGGGTGGGCATGGAGATGATTTTAGTTGATAAGTAGTAGCCCAGGTTCACAGTGGATTTTTGTTATTTATCAATGAGAACACAGACCTCTGTAGGTCCTCATAAAGTTGGGTACTTAGGCACCTTTAATATTCTTTTTCATTTCTCTTTTCCCATACTTACTTTTTCTAAGTAGGTATAGCTCCAAATTTTCCCATCAGCCCAAGTTCTTGAGATTATTTTTCCACTCTGGTCATATTCCATCTTTTCATTCCAGGTTCCTCTTTGAATAAATGTGACTAATCCTGAAGGCGAATATGTGATGTTCACTTCATTATATCTGCTTACAGGAGACCACAGAATAGGTCGTCCGGTTTGGTCATAAAGAATACGAAGGGTAAATTTTCGATGATCATCATAGATCTTTCCAGTGCGGGTCATATGATCAAAATCAATGGAGAGTAGGTTTCTGTTATGGGCCTACAAAAAGAAAGACAAAATTCAGTGTATGTACTGCCTTGATTCAGAGTAGGTTTCTATTATGGGCCTACAAAAAGAAAGATCAAATTCAGTGTATGTACTGCCTTGATTCTTAATCTAGTGCATTCACAATTCTGAATTCTCCAGTGATGGAGAAGTCTCCACCTCTGATTCCTCATGTTTTCATAGTCTTCATCGAACACTTACCTCTTTCCTCACCAGAGTGTACAGTTCTGGAGAGACAAGGCTATGTTTTATTTCCTGAGAAAGTGCCTGATATTAATATTGACCTTCATCATATGGCTAATGATTGTCTTTCTCTAACTAAAGACTCAAGTGAGGCACCACAGTTTTCAATAATGGCATGATCTTATTTTCTGTGAGTTAGATATGAATTAGAATGGGCCTTCTTGGCTCTTTTTGCACTTGCTAACTAATCAAGTGGCTAGAAAGTGTGGAGTTACAATTCAGCACAAAAGAACACAGTGAGTGCCATTAGATTTATGAAAGGTCTACAGCTTTGGATTTTCATGTCTATCTGAACTCGGTGAACTTCACATCATAATGGAACTCAGAGTGAGGGAACCACAGATAACCACGTTTGCAAGTGAGGCTTGCAGGTAAACATGGTGGCATTGATAGCAAGTGTAGTACCACTTACTGGTAAAAGAAACATAAATTTGGATTCAAGTTCAAAAACAACTACAGTGTGGTCACAGGCTTCTGCTAGTATTCTCTACACACACCTTGAAACCTTATAGTTGACTAGAATGAACTCCATTCAAGGGACCCTGACTAGGATTTTATCAGTGACAACACCCTGCAGTGCCTGGCTTTGATGAAATCCAGCTAGGTCCACCTGAGAGATCCAAAGAATGAAATGACTTACTAAAGCAATCAAAACTAAGCAACATGATTTGGTGGCTTTTCAAAGCATCTGGACAAGTGGTGCACATTTAGAGTTTTATGTACGAACGTCAGGGTTTGGCAGTACCACAATAACTTCTGTTATGACTTGCTGATCATGGCACAATCATTCAAAAAATCCAGCACTGGAATTTTTGTGCATTTGTTCCAGGAGAAAGGAGTACTTGGTTTTAATCATTAAGAGAGTTCAGTCCCCGAAGAAAAAGGGAACTCTCAAAGGGCAAGTAGAACCCATAATTTTAGTTAGTTTGGTGTGGATAGCTTTGTGTTTTAGTAGGTCTTTTGTCTTATTATAAATATGATTTTATTTTGAACTAATTTAATATATGAAGTTGAAAATGGTAGAGTCACATTACTCCCTTTACTGGAAATTTATGAAATATGCCCCTACAAAATTTCATAAACACATACATGGGCACTGACTTATAATCTTAGTTGGCTACCACATCACTATGAGACCCAAACATGAAACTTCTATGGGTTCTCAAGAATCTAAGTTTCAATTTCAGATAGAAATTTTATCTAAGTGGCCTGGATAACTACAAAGTGCCTACTCATATTAGCATCTTGTCTTCCCTTTCTTAGTAACCTAAAAACTTATCAGCTTCATCCATATTCCCTGAACATGAAGGGAATAATTTGATTTTCAAAATTTCCCTATATTGGAAAATATAGAAGAAATGAATAGGGGAAATCATGATCTGGGATTCCACCATCCAGGAAGAATTTCAATTAACTTTACTGTATTTCTTCCTACTTATCTTTCTCTGGGGGCATATTTTTCATATATTTATAAAATATAAGTAGGATGGCAGTTAGCCTTGTGTTTTATTGCCACCATTCCCATGTTGATATGTATTCTTGAAATATGGCTTGAATTGGTTATACAATTTTTTTCTACGTGATAAATGTTAGAGTTTTCATTTTCCCATAGTTGGAGATTAGTGTTCTTATTTTTATTTCCTCTTGTACCCTATGATTTCTTGGACATATTTGTAAATAACAACATAGGTCTTTATAAAAAAAAAATTTGTACTGAATGACAAGAATGTACTAAAAAGACTCCAGATGTGATTTGAGAGATTACTGGATTGTGCAAAAGATTGTACAAACTTCATATCCTACTTTATTAATAGAGCCAATCCCATCCTATCTTTAGTTACATTGGTAGTAATTTTCTGAATATGAGAGTTAGAAAATGGTACTTTATTGTTGAATTTTGCATTTATTCAAGTGGTAATGAACATGAGGGTTGAACTTTTTTTTTATTTTTTTAAATATTGACCACTCGTGTGTCTTCCACAGACCATCTTTTCATGATATTTGTCAATTTTTCTACCAGAATGTAGTAGTGGGTCTTTTAAAACATACTTTGGTCTCAGTTTCATCATTTCTCAGTCAAGGCAAATAATATTTGCCCTTAATTTTGAACTTCTGCAAAGAAAGGACCCAAACAATACATGCTATGAATTCTATTCAGAAGACCAAATTATTTTGTAATAATATTCAAATTATTTTGTAAAAGTGCTTTTGATTTCAGAGAATAGGTATAATTCAAGTACTACAGAGGTAGATTTGCGACTTAAGATTTTTTAAAAACTGTCTGCAGTAAAAGTGTGCTGTGTTGTATTGCAAAAATATACACTAGCCTGCTGTGTTCACATAAAAGCACGTAGTCCCTGTCTTGTGATACTCAGTGCTTGGAAGCCTACAGGAAACCAGGTGTTCGTTTTTCAACTACCTTTCCTGTGGTTTTATCGTCACATATCTTCAACTGTAATACCGTTTATTTACAGCAGCTGCAAAATACCCATGTACTCCCAGAGATAGTCATAACTATTACAATTTATGTTATAAAGATAGTTTAAAGAGACAAAGTAACAAGCAACTTTCAGTACAACTAAATTTGTGGCTTTGTTTGAGAGACGAAGTTTACTACTGAAGACCACATTTCTTAATAAAGTCAGTAGGATGCCACAAGCAATGATCAGTGTTGAAAATCCACTAAGAAGTCAGTCAGAGGACTCTGTCTAATGCCTTTTCCCTGCCTGTCGGGACTTCTGCAGCAGCTTCTCTGTTTCAGAACAATGCACTCCACTATTCCAATGCTGCTATGGCAATGCTCCTGAAACACTACTTTCAAAGTTGGGTTTGGAAGTTAAAATAAAATTCAGCAAGGGCTGAAAAGGATGAAGGAATCAAAGATGCCATAGGTTTCCCCTACTCATTCTCTGTGGAAACCACACATAAGAAAGCTGCAAGGCTATTGCTTTCAGGTGAGGCTTTTAAACCTCTGTCTGGAGTACTGATGTGCTGCCAGCCTCTAAGGTGGGCATTCAGAACATGACTTGACTGCTCAGGTCATGGGTAAGGCTGGAACAATCCATATTCATACACATGCTTGCTCTTCTCTATGACTACAGCTCTTGATCAGAGCATGAGCCAACAATTCTTGTTTCTACTGTATTTCCAAATAATCTATATTGATCACTCTCCTAGAAAAGAGAAGATGAGAATAACCCTAAGTCATAAAGGACACCTTTTGGACAGCTGTACACTAAGTGGGAACTTTTAATTTGGCCACTGGTGAATATCATTGTGTGCTAAGAAATATGGGCATGCTTCTTTTCTTAGTGGGAGATGTGTATATGCTGCATGCAATGCCTGGATTCCATCAGGGCTTTCTTTACCCAACTATACTAAAGAACAGGGCTTGCTTATTGTGTACAACTGAGCCAGAGAGAAAAGAAGGGAGCACACACTCTGATGAGCAGTGCATGACACTGGAGTCAGACTTTTCTTTCCTGGCCGCTAGTCCCAAGTTACCACACAGAGGCTTAATGTTAATTACAAATGTTCAGTCGATAGCTCCTGCTTGTGACTAGGTAATCCTTACATTTAAATTAACCCATATTTCTTTTTTAAAATTAATTTTTATCTAAATTAAAAACAACCTTATTTTACATACCTATCCCAGTTCTCTCTCCCTCCTGTCCTTCCATTCCCCCTCCCCCCATCCCACCCTTCAATCACTCCTCAGGGAGGGTGAGGCCTCCCATGGGGGATCATCAAAGTCTGTCACATCATTTGGGGCAGGGCCTAGGTCCTCCCCATGTGTATCTAGTCTGAGAGAGTATCCCTCCATAGGGAATGGGCTCCTATAGCCCATTTGTGTAATAGGGATACATACTGATTCCACTACCAGAATCCCCAACTGACACCCACATTCAGGTGACCTATAGAACTCCCTCCTCTCACCATTCCACATAAGGGAATTTCCCGCAGAACTGAAAGTATCTAAGAAGGGTATGGGTGCGTGGAATGGCAGGATGATGGGCCTCTTCAGACAACTGTCCTGTGCCTCTACTTCCTGTCTTTTCTTTAGAGTATGTGTTTTAATTACTTAAGAGAAAACCTTCCCTACACCTTTCATATGTAACGGATTCAGATAGGATAATGATATTAGTAGGTAGATGTATGGACAACTTGAGATAATTAACAGTGATACTCTACACAAAAGGAAATCTATCACACACACACACACACACACACACACACACACACACACTCCCCAAAGCTACAGCCAGGGCAGTTGATTTTTCTTTCCTCTATAAAGAGGAGGAGACTGTCAAGGAGACTAGCATTTCAGGTCATAATACAACCTAATTACCTGTTAAATTTTGCTGAAGACAGAAGGTGAATAAGAGACAGGCCAAACAGCATCAACGCTTGGAAGGTGTACCGTATTGCATTTTTATGAAGTCACAGGGATGGGCAGGAAATTCTCAGCTGATTTTAAAGTAGCACACTGTATTCTACTCTCACTAGTTTTAAGGTAATTAGTATTGGACTTTTAAAGATCAATCAATACATTAATTCACAGATTTTAATGTTTTACTGATATTTCCAGTTTAACAATCAAAAGGTTACTCAGGTCTGTTTTCCTTTTAGAGTTGCCTATAAATGAAATAGCATGTCTTTAGTGTTAGTACTAGCTTGGGATAGCCATTTACAATTTCCTTTGTATTTATTTTTTTTTTATTTTTGTTCCCAAGATAGTCTCTTTGTATTGA